GTAGCCCTTCACCCTAGCATGCTACTGACCAAATATCATCTCCCTGGGCAGTTTGGTTATTGAGAAGAAGTTTTTTAAAGTTTTTAACATATTTGACCCCTGTGACCTTGAAAATAGATGAAGGTCATTTATTTGAACAAACTTGGTAGCCCTTCATCCCAGTTTGCTTCTGGCCAAATATCATCACCCTAGGCCTTTCGGTTATTAAGAAGAAGTCGTTTAAAGTAAAATATTGACGCCGGACGGACGCCGGATGGACGGACGGACGGACGACGGACGCCGCACCACGCCATAAGCTCACTTGGCACTTCGTGCCAGGTGAGCTAAAAATTGGTAAGAAAATGGAAAACACCAAAGCATGCAGTAAACTGCAAACAAACAAAAAGACAGAAAAAGCAGTACTGTGTATTTCTAATGGAATACAGGTAATAATGGCCAGACGAAAGATTTTTTATTAAGAAAAATAATTAAATGCAAACATGAAACAGCAAGAAAATGACTGTGAGAAGTAAAATGCAAACTAAAGGTCAGTAAAGGTCAAAAGGTAAGTTTGAGCAAAAACGTTCAAATGCAAATAAAGAATCGAAATGGTAAGAAAATTGATCAGTAAAATAGAAACAAAATATCAGTCAATGCAAGCAAATGTCAGTAAGATGATGAAGAGCCTGGAACAATTGTCTGAAGCAAAGTTGGTTTAATGGAGTGTTAAAATAAAATTTTCATCTAAAACTCATAATTGGAGAAATCGTTTAAATGATCATCTAAAGACAAAATTGCAATTTCAGAAGAAAATAAAATGAAAATTTTAATTTAATGGCCCAACAAATTAACATTGCTTCAAACAAGTGTGTCCGGGTCAATAAATGAGTCCGAGTGATGGTTGTGCGGGACTACTTACCCGAAAGTTGGTCTCTGTGAGTAAAATACAAAGTTTGCATCACACCAGCCTTTCCATCCACTAACCATTAGTGAGACATGCAACCCAATACAGACTGTATACCCAACACTATCACAACCCAATACAGACTGTATACCCAACACTATCACAACCCAATACAGACTGTATACCCAACACTATCACAACCCAATACAGACTGTATACCCAACACTATCATAAACCAAAGTCTTTTTATAAAATCAAACCTTATTACTCTGCACTTTGCAAATTTGAAAACGCAAGTCTGGACCCTGATTTTCCAAAACGAAGTCAAAATATTTAATCCTAAAATTTGTTTTCAGGTTCTGTTAAGTTTTATTGGCAACAGATAAAAGATTGAATTAAGGTCCAGAAGACAGTATTGTCTGGATTATCAAGGTTTGATTGTATATAGAACAGGTCGATATACAATCCTCCCTACACCATATAAAGTGTTTACAATATTGATCTCATATTCCTTCCTGTTGAGTTATGAAAAAAACATAAAAATGAATGTTGGCTTTGAAAAAAACAAATGTACAACATAAAATGTCTATTTTTCTGTCCATTTTCTTTGAATCTGTTTAATTCAGACAACAGCCAACACATTTTTTTTAAATAAAGAATTTAAGAAACACATGGACTGAAAAAAACACCTTCTCCCAATGCAACTGATGTCGCACTTTCATAAAGAACTTAAATCTGAGGTGAATAATTCAACATGATTATTCCTAAGGCTTCATTTTCCTGCTCCTCTTTTAAGCAATCTTATATAAAATTGTATTGTTTTTTCTCTGAATGCTGTGTACACATAAATTATTTTTTATACTTATTATCTTAAGAAAAACAACTATTCCTTTAGATGCTTCCACCAAGAACCACAGCCAATGAAATTTGTTTTATGAAAAACACCACAGCCAATGAAATTCATTGTATGAAAAACACCACAGCCAATGAAATTCATTGTATGAAAAACACAACAGCCAATGAAATTCATTCTTGGAAAGAAAACCACAAGGTCATGCGGTCATTATATCCATAGCAACCCACTTAACATTAGACCAATCCAACAAATCACCAGTCAGTCAATATTAAATCATTCACAAAGGTCCACCACACACACAAACCTTGTATCCTTGTCATGAATCAACATCTAGATATCCATAGAAACACAAATAATTATTTCATCATATAGCAAATAATTTTCAAATAATTTTCTTTCACATCTGTTTTTAAAAATCAGAAATAATAGTTGCATCTGTATTCATATAGAATCAAGTTTCAACATTAAATTTACAAAAAAAATCTTGAAAATTCCCAAGTTGCTATAACTTAATTTAAAAAAAAAAATCAGTGTTAACAACAATACTTTAAAGCAACCTTTTTATAACAGTTTAAAAATAAAAAATAAAACAGGATATCAAAGTTATGAATGAAATCTTCAATGCCAACACTGTAGGGGAGGTAACTCACCTGTGTTGATGGTTCAAAGTGATTGATCTCCCCTTGACTTTCACATTTACACTCTGGGATGTAAATATTTGTCCTGTCTTCTGTCATCACATGTGTGTCGTATGGTTCTGGCCCAATCCAGCTCAGGACAACAGGGAGGTAGATAAGTCCATGGAACAGCCCAAATAACACAACTGTAAAAAACACCTACAACCGAACAAATATGGGAGGTTTATTAGAGCCTGGAACAGCCCAAATAACACAACTTTAAAAAATATCTTCAACAAACAAATGTGGGGAGGTAGATAAGTGCATGGAAAAGCCCAAATACCACAGCTGCAAACAAAAGGGTAAATAATTTCAGCAAATATTCTAACCCTGATATACCATCATCTTCCATCCAAGGAGATTTTGACAACATACTGAGTGTGGAAGCACAATTGATTTGTCTCAGTTAAATGATAACAGCTGTGTTAGATTTAACATCATTGTATGCTTGTGTAACCAGGGCGGAAAAATGTACGGCCAGACAGGGGTTCAAATCCGGGACACTCTAACTCAAGACGGACGCCATACCAATTGTTACCTGGTCGCAGAGGATCGACCCAGTCCAGTTCCGCTACACTTGTATATGTAATGACAACATCTAACTACCCAAGCCTAAACAGTTGTGATGTTGAAGACAAAGCATAAAAGCCACTGTACTGGTAAATTTCTGTGAGGTAATGAGGAAGAGTAAATGGAGGCCCACAAAGGGATGTTTGTATTTGAGCATCAAAACATCACAAAAGATAACTTGAAGCATTGTATTTTTGTAAAATGTCATGTAAAAGTTTGGAAAAAGTTTGAATCTTTATGACATTTAAAGGAGGTCAGGTGAGAACTTACCCTGAAAAACAGTGAGAAGCCATAACTGTAGCTGTTACACAGCAGTAAGAAGGCCAGGAATGTACTGAAGCCACCACTAAACACAGCCGGGCCAATCTTCTTCAGTGTGGACACCACTCGCTCTGTAACGACAATCGAGATAATGTACAGACCTATACACAGAACCAACTATAAATAATGTCACTGTTCAACAACTACAGATAATATCACAACTACTGATACTTATCACTGCCACCATTGCACACAAGACCAACTACAGCTTTATCTAGTTGTCTCCCAAATGAATCTTTCCATTTATCTCCCAACAGAACCTCGTCCATTATTTCCCCATTGAACAGTTACCTCCAAATAGAAAACATTGCAAGTTACCTTCCCATAGAACCTTCCCAGTTACTTCCCAAAAGAACCTGGCCAGTTTTCTCCCCATAGATCCTGACCGGTTATCTCCCCATAGATCCTGACCTGTTACCTCCTCATAGAATCTGGCCAGTTATTGCCCCATTGATCCTCGCCAGTTATCTCTCCAATAGAACCTCATCAGTTGTCTTCCCATAGATCCTGACCAGTTACCTCCCCATAAATCCTGAACAGTTACCTCCTCATAGAATCTGGCCAGTTACCTCCCAATTGAACCTGGTCAGTTACCTCCCAATTGATCCCCACCAGTTACCTCCCCATAGATCCTGACCAGTTACCTCCCCAAAGATCCTGACCAGTTATCTCCCCAAAAATTCTGACCAGTTACCTCCCCATTGATCCTCACCAGTTACCTCCCCATAGATCCTGACCAGTTACCTCCCCATTGATCCTCACCAGTTACCTCCCCATTGATCCTCAGCAGTTATCTCCCCAAAGATCCCGACCAGTTACCTCCCCAAAGATCCTGACCAGTTACCTCCCCAAAGATTCTGACCAGTTATCTCCCCATTGATCCTCACCAGTTACCTCCCCATTGATCCTCACCAGTTATCTCCCCAAAGATCCTGACCAGTTACCTCCCCATTGATCCTGACCAGTTATCTCCCTAAAGATCCTGACCAGTTACCTCCCTAAAGATCCTGACCATTTATCGCCCCAAAGATCATCACCATTTATCTCCCCAAAGATCCTGACCAGTTACCTCCCCATTGATCCTAACAAGTTATCTCCCTAAAGATCCTGACCAGTTACCTCCCCATTGATCCTCACCAGTTATCTCCCCATAGATCCTGACCAGTTACCTCCCCATAGATCCTGACCTGTTACCTCCCCATTGATCCTCACCAGTTATCTCCCCATAGATCCTGACCAGTTATCTCCCCAAAGATCCTGACCAGTTTCCTCCCCATTGATCCTGACCAGTTACCTCCCCCTTGATCCTCACCAGTTATCGCCCCAAAGATCCTGACCAGTTGCCTCCCCATTGCTCCTCACCAGTTATCTCCCCATAGATCGTGACCAGTTACCTCCCCATAGATCCTCACCAGTTATCTCCCCATAGATCCTGACCAGTTACGTCCCCATTGATCCTAACAAGTTATCTCCATAAAGATCCTGACCAGTTACCTCCCCATTGATCCTCACCAGTTATCGCCCCATTGATCCTCACCAGTTACCTCTCCAAAGAACCTGGCCAGTTGTCTTCCCAATAGAACCTGGTCAGTTACCTCCCCATAGAATTTGGCCAGTTACCTCCAAATAGAACCTGGTCAGTTATCTCCCCATTGAACTATCTATATTTGCAATTAGGAATCGCGAGCACCTTCCATAAATGAGAAAATAACTCCAGAGTAAAAAGCAGAGCAATACAGACAAATTCTGTCCAAAGAGGCATTCTGGTGTAAGGATCAAAGAGTTAGTCGACAGTGCACCACAATAGCTGTGAATTCAATTCAAACATAAAAGAGAAACAGCTTGAAACACTCAGGCATTTATATGAAGGCCATGAACTTAAAGAGAATTTAAAGCCCTGATGACTTGTAATGATGATCAACAGTCTCATAGTGACTTCATTACATTAATAAATGCTGTCTGTATAATGGTTATACAGAATATAAGATAAATAGAGTATATCATTTGAATAAACACACTACTATCATATAAGCTGATAATTAACACTGAACCATCCCTTTCTCACAGAGGTGTGATATCAACATGCTCACTCTTGGAGGCAGCCATCTTTGTTTACAAAAGTAAGCCTTTGCAATGTAGGCCCTGCTATGGTAATGAGATAACAAATATGGCAACAGTTGAGCTATTCCTGAGATATGTTCTGGTGTACAGAAAGTGCTGTAGGCCCTGATTGTAATTTGTGGACTCTTGTCTTTATAAATACCTGGTCTGGTTCCCTGGACTGTCATGAACATGTGACCAATATGGGCGGAGTAATCAACCGCCAGGCCCACTGACAGGGTCAGCAGGATGCTGCTTGCTGTATCTATGGTAACACCCCAGAAGTGAAGTGTACCAGCTACATCAACCTACAAGGTAGTCATATACAATAAATTTACTGATCAGGTTTATGAATTCCAAATGAAATTTGTCTCGCCATTCAGAAGGATTAGGATGGGCAAATAATCAAAGAGACTGGATCACACGTATGTATTTCTAATGTTTTCCAGTTTGATTTTTTTTTTTTTTTTACACATTATGCAAATGACTTTTGCCCCCATTTACATGACCTCTGAGCCTTACCAGGGTGAAAATGACACATGTGAATACGATGAGACTGGTGCGGAAGTTTGCTATCAATAGAAGGGTGACAATGAACACACAGATCACAGCCAGAAGGAGGTTCCGGTACAGCTCCCGTTGAAGTATCTGAAAACATATACAATTTCAGTAAGGTCAACAATACATTACAATTAAGATTTAAATTTAAAATTATCTGACTTTGAAGACATTCATAAACATTACTAACTACACATCTGACTGTGGCGTAGCTTGGTTAATTCATGTGTAGGCAAGCCATCTGGGGACTGCCGAGGCCTCCAGTATGTCCGGGACAGAGTCATGGTAGGGGNCCCCCCCCCCCCCCCCCCCCCCTACACTTCTCGTTTACAGAAAGTGTCAACGGTTCCCTATTAGAATTGACTTAGGCTTACTTAAAAGAAACTGAATGCTGGGATGATAGTCTGAGATATGAGAAATAATAATTTAGCAACACATTTTTACATATATGAAATTAGCGTGAAGACAATGATTAAACAATAAACAAGAGGCCCAATGGGCCTGCATCGCTCACCTGGTATAAATCTCATACTTGTAACCTTAAAAGTGATCTAAAATAAAGCTACAGGCAAAATATCAGTATTTATGATTAAAATTAATTCAAAAGAACCTGTTATTTTTTTTTTAAACATTTCACCCCTGTGATTGAAAGTCGAACAAAGTCAATATGTTGAACAAATTTTATAGCCTTTCATCTCAGGATGCAACTTGCAAAGTATCAACATCCTGGGACCCATGGTTATTCAAAAGAGGTCGTTTAAAGATTTTAAACAAATTTGACCCCTGTGACCTTGAATATAAGTCAAAGTCATTCACTTTAACAAACATAGTAGTCCTTGATATAAGCATGCTACTGACTAAATATCAACATCCTGAGTCTTTTGGTTATTCATAACAAGTTGTTTAAATATTTTTTGAACATATTTGCTCATTGTGACCTTGAATATGATTCAAGGTTTTCCATTTAAACAAACTTGGTAGCCCTTGATCCTAGTATTCTACTGACTAAATATCATCACCCTGGGCATTTTGGTTATTGAGAAGAAGTTGTTTAAAGTTTTTAACATATTTGACCCCTGTGACCTTGAATATGGGTGAATGTCATTCATTTGAACAAACTTTGTAGCCCTTCATCTCAGCATGCTACTGACTAAATATCATCACCCTGGGCATTTTGGTTATTGAGAAGAAGATGTTTAAAGTTTTTAACATATTTGACCCCAGTGATCTTGAAAATGGGTGAAGGTCTTTAATTTTAACTTTGTAGCCCACCATCCCAGTTTGCTTCTGGCCAAATATCATCACCCTAGGCCTTACGGTTATTAAGAAGAAGTCGTTTAAAGTTAAAAATTGACGCAGGACGCCGGACGGAGGACGGACGCCGCGCCACGGCATAAGCTCACTTGGCATTTCGTGCCAGGTGAGCTAAAAACAGGACATCCTAGAAGGATCTTGGCGCCCATCATCGTACCATCTTCATTAGTTCTATCAGTTTCATCTTTTCTCTTCTTTTTTTCTTATCTGTTTGATCGAGGCATGTTAATAGTAAAAGCACCTTGAGGTACAGTACATAATGTGAAAGAAATAGAACCAATCATTGCAAAATGAGAAATATCTATAAAGTACTTCCTGGGAAATAGTGATAATATTCTTGAAATGTCAAAATCCAAGATGTTGCCTGTGGCCATCTTGCTTTTTTTTAATCAGTCTCAAAATAATACACACACAATTATGGACCAAGGGGAACCTTGATACAAATTTTGAGTAATATCTGTCAAGCACCTTTTGAGGAATAGCGATAACAAGAATTGTTTAAAAACAGACAACAGACAGACCACAGACCAAGGACCAGAGACGACAGGTAATTTGAATAGCCCACCATCTGAAGGGGGGGGCCAAAAACAGAAACTGTTTTACTAAGAGATTTATTTGTAGGCAAATACCTATGCTGCACATTGGCAGTTCTGCCACTGTCTTGACTGCATTAGCCTTTCTTAAAGGTTTAAAACTTGAAAAACCTATGTTTAGATGCAATCATAAATATATATATATTACTAAAATTGTTCCATTGTTTGACGGCTGTTACCTCCCTTGTATTGTTACATGAGGACTGATTGTTACCTCCCTTGTATTGTTACATGAGGACTGATGTTCAAATTGAATGACGAACAAAGTGAAATGTGACTTGATATGCAACATCTTTATTCCTTAGACAATGGAAACAATAATCTAGCAATTCTTCATTTTTTTTTCTTAAATCTGATTTTAAAACAGAGCTTTTCCAACATTCTGTATCAAAATGTTGAATAACAATTCATACCTTATTTGTTTCATATGTAAGGTAAACATCGGTGTAGGCGAAGCATCCCCCTCCAGGGAGCCCCAAATTATCTACAACATGTCTTAGACTCTCCATGGCGATGATCTCAGACTTAGAGTCAGGTTGATAGGTGTGTCGCAGTGTAAAATATGTTCCCTGAAACAATCATGTCAACATCTAAATGCATGAGTTTATATAAAATTACAAGATCTCTGAATTTCCAGTTGACAAAATCAATATTTTAATGGAAAATTAATTGTGAAATTGGATATCCAGTTGTCTCCCTTCAATTTTTTTCTTCATTTTCATACTTGGTGTGCATTGAAGAGAGATAATACTCTTCACCATCTAAATACTATAGCACAAATGTGTACATGTATTCTAAAGAGAAGTGAGTTTTACCAAAAGAAATTCTCAATTCATGCCATGCTAGATCATATCAGGTTTCAGAAACCTGCCTAAAATGACATATGATAGCTATTAATTTTTCACACCCAAAACCCAACCCCTTAAAAAAATCCTGAAATATATGGAGAACAGGCTTAATAGTAATAATAATAATAAGATTTATTCAGGAAAGGGCATGCACAACAAAACATTTTCATTTAAGTAGGTTATTTACAAAGTTGATTTATATAATTTCTGTATTTTGCCTTACCCTGGGATAGCCCATCAAAGCCATAGAAAGCTTATTTCCAATCCCCTGCTCATCAACTATAGGTGTAAAGTAATGACTCTCTAGACACCTGACACAGCTTGATGAAGACAGGATAAAAGACAGGGATATACAGAGGGACTTACCAAGATAATTGGGTTGCCAGTCGATGATGCAAACTCAAACTTAATGAACTGTTGGTAGGCCTGGCCCTGTGGGGTCTGGTAGACAAAACGGTGTAGCAGTAATGCAAACCAAGCCTTGGAGTATGGATACGGTACATCTGTGGACAAACCATATCTATTATTACTTACGATCTTAAATCCAACATCCATTTGATCATAATCACAGCAATTTTACTAAGAGAACCTCTAATCATAGTTATAGGGTTATGGCCCCCAAGGGGATCACATATCTCCCCCCACCCCAACACACACTTCCTCAGAGACATGAGTTAATCACCCTTTTAATGACAGTTCTGGCGTCTCACTTCCTCAGATAAGAGCTCTTCTCAATTCTATCAGAGTTCCTACCCCTAATTTACCCCTCTGATCAGCCTTCCAATTTCCTAGATCTCAGTTCTGCTCAATTAAATCAAAATCCTGCCCTTCAAGGTTTCCAGTTACACCAATCAGCATTACCTCCCCTTATATCAGGGTCACAAACTTCCTATCAGAATCCCTTTTATATAAAGGTTCTCTACTTCACATCAAAAAGCTGCACAACAGATTTGGGTACAATAAGTTAATATGAAAATCTGACCGATTTTAATGAATGTCCCATTCCTGCAACCCTTCATAATAAAGTGCAACTCTTTAGATTAGGGTACAATCCCTTCAATTCAAAGACCTGTCCCTTTCAATAAAGGTCGATATCCCACCCATTCGAAGGTCCCATTCCCTTTAGTCAAAGTCACAAAAACTATACCTCCATAAATGGCAGGGGCCACGGACGGTTCATCCTTCACCGTGTCAAACCAGTCATTAAAGGCGGAGAACCAGAACACAACAGAACCATTGATGATGTATGGATCTTCAACTATATTGTGGTACATCTTCTCCATCAAATCCCGACTCTTGTGGTACTCAAAGTCTTCTACAAATCAAATATATTATCAGGTCCCATTATAAATCAGATTCAGAGGAGGGAATTCCTAGTGTTTCTTAATCAGTGCTTAAGTTATATTACATAGCATGGTGTGAATACAATACTTGAATATTAGAACAAGAGTACCGCGGGGGGGAACAATATACGCCCGTCGAATGCCATATAGTGTTATATACTTTCTTACATTGAAATAAGATCTGCATCATTCAAAGATTGGTTAGCTGACATGCTATAAAAATGTAGGAGAAAATCTCCGGACAAAAATCAAATACTTAAAAAAACAAAGGGCAATAACTTTTGGAAAAATTGTCGAATCAAAATTCATTTCCAGGAAACACAACAACATATCATGATTATTTAGCCTACTAAGTTTCAAAGAGATCCGTTTAAAAATGTAGGAGCAAAAATGCCGGACAAAAATCAAATACTGAAATGAACAAAGGGCAATAACTTTTGCAAAAATTGTCGATTCAAAATTCTGTTAAGGGAGACACAACTTCATATCATGATTATAATGTATACCAAGTTTCAAAGAGATCGGTCGAAAAATGTAGGTGGAGATTGCCGTACAAACAAAAGTTTACGCCGACCGGCTGGCCCTACGGACGGACAGACAACGCCATACTATATATAATACTCCCGTCAAATTTGACGGGTGTATAAAAATATGAAATTGTTCTCTTTTTTTGTGTATTTACATGTGTATATAAATGATAAAACATACTTATTATTTTACATCTTTATTTTTAGATCTTACACATTTATTATTTTATTCTATATTTTCCTTTGCAAGGACTTGTTTATTTATTATCTACTCTATATATAATATATATCTGGTTTTCATCTAGAAACAAGGCCTATTCTTTTCATAAATTTCAAATAGGTAAACATGTGAGTCAACATTAAAGCAAATCACCAATGCTCTCAAATAAGTCAGTTTACTGTGAAAAAATAAAATAAAAAAGAATATAAAAATCCAAACAATTTCATTATAAACCTAATATTTCATTGGTAAAAACATAAACAGAGAATGTTTATTGTTTTTTCCAGCAATTTTTGGACATCATATTGTATGTTTTACAAAATTTGAAAAGTTTTTAAAAGCATATTCACATATTCATCAGACACAAAACAATAGTTAAATTCATATATCTTATACATGTTGATTTTGCATAATGGGGTGCACTGGGCCAGTTTATGGACCAAGCGTCATAGCTCATCTGTCAATATTGGAACTCTTCAATGCTTTAAACGTTGGCAGGCCTCAAAGAGAATGATACAAATATTGGTATATGAATCTCATAGAACGTAATTATTTCTTTTCCTTGTAAGCTGCTATTCCAGGGTCAAAAGTCTATTGTATTTTCGTTATGTCTCTTGCCATTCCAGCTAAAATAGTAAATGTTTACTCTAGAAATATACCGTCCTCATATCCTCACCAGGACAGTCCATTGTGGCTGTGATCACTGCAGCGACAAAAGAGAAAGTAGAAGTCTAGTGGCAAACTTGTTGCGTTTTGAGCGATATTGCTAAACTATATCAATGTTTGATATTGATTGATAATAGTTGACATTGTCATATCAAGTTGAACATAACACAACACAACACAAGTGCTGATGAACACAAATTACAGTCAGCATGTCAGCTGGTACAGATGACCATCAGACACTGTACACATTGTGATGTCATTGCAATGTATAAACTGCAACGACGTATTTGTTTGTATGGATATTGGGTGTGGCATAAACTCCCATGCATTTACTTACTGCAGTAGACAGCGGTGTCAAGCCCGTCAGACGGGAAATACTCCTCCCTGGCCATGGCGTATTTATGAGCGTAGGAATCGGACGGGATGTACATTGTTAGGCTGAAGTCCTGCCGTAGCTGGTAAAACCCCCAGATATTGACTCCAAGTAGAGCGAACGTGACTAGTAGAACCAGCACCTGAAAAAAGGCATGGATATAAGTGACTAGTAGACGTGGTATCTGGAAAAGGCTCAGATATCTTTTGTACTGTAATATCTACCATCAATTGAATGTTTTGTAAAGAGACAGATGCTGTAATAATTGAAGTCCAAACTTATCACATTTAGAAAGATAAAAAAATCAGGTTTGTTTTCATATATATAGATATCATCTGTGCAAATATCCTCAGCCAATCAGATTGAGATACATACAGTATAGAAGCAATCAAGTTAACAGCTAGACTACAGGAACAAATGAGGAGTAATCTTGACCTCAAAAAAAATATTCAAAAAAAAATCAATAAAATGTTGATGGATAGATAGACCAACAAAATTAGGTCACAATGCCACATAAGGAAGTTAAATCTCCAGAAATGCTTATGTTTAAATGATAATAGACTTACTTTGACAGGAAACTTCATCAAAGTGGGTCCAATGTATTTTTCAAAGATTGTACTCATTATATTCCATTGGCTGAAGGAATTTGGGGTATAGTTTTTGTGTATGTAGCAGGGTATACAACCATCACGCGAGGCCTCCACCTTACGCTGATCCAACGTCAGACAGGCCACAAAGAAGGTTGCCTGGAGACCGTAAAGACCCAGTATCCCCAGGGCTGCATAGATACAGAAGCCACTGAGGCCTGGAATCACCTGAAAAATCATACAGTACAGTATATATAGTAAGTGTACATATAGCTACTGGATTATTCTTTCTGTACAAAATATACCAAAATGTTAACGTGAGGTATATTACACTTTTTAACAAATCCAGCACAAAAGAAACTGATTTACATGTTTCACATTTTTTATCGGTGAAATATAAGGAATTATCTATTTGATAAAAACTTATATCAGATATGTGAAGATAAACGAAATATATATCTTCACATGTGAATATCACTTTCAGCTTTGTTCAATAAGAACAGTACTTTCTATTCACTTCGTAGATTTTCAGTTTCAAGTTCAGATGAAGCGACATTGAAACATTCATTATGGTAATAACATAACTACACAATTGATGTTATTTTTGTTTGGAAATCTCACCAGATAATAGCAGCAAACGTCAGAATTGCTTTGAGTAACACATTCAAAATTGCGCTCTGCCTTGTTGTCAAGCATGACGTCATTACAACCTGGCATCAAAGAGTTCGCTTGAAAATATTAATATTCTGCCATAAAAGTGAAATAATTAAATATCCTCTATTTACATTATTTGAACTGCACAACCCAATGATTTACATGATGTCGTCCAGGAACGTACCGTTGAAGCCCCTATAGCAAAAGCCACAACGTCAGTGATGGAGGTCACAGTGATAGACACGCCAGCGTGCTTGAGAGAAAGTGCCATCCGGTCCACCAGGGGCAGCTGCATTTCCTTTGGGGTCAAGTTTTTCCAGGACTCCACGATCACGAACATGTCATCAACCCCAATACCTGACAAGGATATATGGAGGACTAAACATTGATATAGGTCACACAATCAACATCACTTCAGAGTTAATTAAAATATTGCTCAAAGATATTTCACATGTTGTATATAATTGATTTTACAGATTAACTATTTAAAATTCTGCCACATTGGCCACACAATGACCGATTATAATTTAATACCCATGCATGTGCATGTTCTTTTTACTTCTTAACTATGTACAATCAAAATTCTTCTGAAAGCCACCCCCTGTATTGCAAGTGTAAACAACAGGCACAGAGGGCCAAAGTGTCAGCAAACAATGGCTCTCCAGCTCAAGGTCGGTGCCAGAACTATTAAGACTGTTCCAGCTGTTAAAAAGCTAGGGGTATACTTTGATAGTTCACTGAACATGCAGAAACAAGTGAACGCTATTGCCAAATCCTGTTACTACCAGATCAGGAACATCGGCTGTATTCGGCAGTTTTTAACTGCAGATGCATGCAAGATTTTGGTGCATTCACTTGTTACCTCTCGGTTGGATTATCTGACAAACTAACTAGTCGTCTGCAGAGGGTCCAGAACACTGCAGCACGGCTAGTTACTCGTACTCGAAAGAGAGAGCACATAACACCTGTGCTTTATTTGTTGCACTGGTTACCTGTACGATACAGGTCGCAGTACAGAATTCTGGTGTACACATACAAGGTACTGAATGGAACAGCTCCTCAGTACCTACAGGAGCTTGTTACCCTGTATCAGCTGTCACGATCACTGCGGTCAGAGTCAGAATCTTTGTTGTGTGTCCCAAAATTTGGACTGTGACCTACGGAAACAGATGCTTTGGGAGGGTTTCGGCTACATTGTGGAATAGCTTACCATCTGCTATTAGAAAGTCAAATACCCTGGCCAAGTTCAAAAGGGACATCAAAACTCACCTCTTCACGTCTGCATTTTAGAATCTTTGCAATGTAAATACCACCCTTTTATTTGTTCAATTATGTGCACATTGCATGCTTAAATGTATAAAAATGATTGTAAGCCTTTGTTTTCTGTTTTCACAATTATAACCATTACTGTTATCCATATGTTGTAAAGCGCTTTAGAGTAATTTTACAAATTATATAGGGCGCTATATAAATGTTGTATATTATTATTATTATTATTATGTACAGTTTTGAGGTGGTGATCTCAACCGTTTCAAAGTTATGACCCAGAGGTTAAGTTTCCAATGGTGGGGCAGACCCTGGCGTCAATTCTTATATCATGACTGCATTTGTCTCTTTATGCCCAGCATTTGTAAATACAGTTTTGGGGTGGGGATCTCAACCGTTTCAAAGTTATGACCCAGGGACTATGTCTAAAGGGTGGGGCCAGACCCCTGGGCAATCCTGGAAACTTATGTGCATTCTTCTCTTCATACTCAGCAATTATATATATGGTTATAGGGTGGGGATCTCAAACATTTCCAAACAATAAAATCTTTTTGGCCCCATGAATGATTCCAACCAAATATGATTGATATCAAGTGCATAGCTCTACAGAAGAAGTCGCTTAAAGCAATATAGCCAAATAACCCTTTTTGGCCTCGCCCCTCAGCCCCCTGGGGGGTCAGTCCCACCATTTGTACACTTTTGAATCCCTGCCTCTCATGAATGCTTCTGACCAAATATGATTGATATCCAGTGCATTGTTCTACAGAAGAAGTCATTATAGCAATTTAGCCAAATTGACCACTTTTGGCCCGCACCTCTGCCCCCTTGGGGGTCATCCCCACTATTTGTACAATTTTTAATCCCCACTACCTAGGGATGCTTCCAGAAAAATATGGTTGATATCCATCTCTTAGTTCCAGAGGAGAAGTCCCTTAACACAATATAGCCAAATTGACCCCTTTTTGCCCTGCCCCTCAGCCCCCTGGGGGGTCAGCCCTACCACTTGTACAATTTTGAATCCCCACTACCTAGGGATACTTCCAGTCAAATATGGTTGATGTCCATTTTCTAGTTGTAGAGAAGAAGTAGCTTAAAGCAATATAGCCAAATAACCATTTTTGGCCCCGCCCCTCAGCCCCTTGGGGGTCAGCCCAACCATTTGTCCAATTTTGAATCTCCGCCTCCCATGAATGCTTCTGACCAAATATGATTGATATCCATTGCACAGTTCTACAGAAGAAGTCGTTTATAGCAATATAGCCAAATTGTCCCCTTTTTGCCCCGCCCCTCAGCCCCCTGGGGGGTTAACCCTACCATTTGTAATATTTTGAATCCCCATCACCTAGGGATGCTTCGAGTCAAATTTAGTTAAATTTGAATTAGTGGTTAAGAAGAAGAAGTAGTTTGAAGAAATTGTTGACATACAGACGACGGACGCTACGGTATGACATAAGCTAACCTTGGTCTTTCGGACCCATGTATTTATCGCTTAAATGTAAGCAACTCTTGCAAAATATTCTCAATGAAATTGGAGTATGAACAAATATGGACCAAAAGGATTATTGATGCAAGCTTCATCACAATCCTTTCAATAGTTCCTTAGAGATAGATAGCATTACCAAACTTCACTATCAGGTGCACAACTAAATGATGTACTGATCATTCACATACAATTTTGCTGAAATCTGCATGTCAGTTTAGGAGGAGTAGTCGAGACAATATTTTATCCATGGACGTACAGAAGACAGATACATTGTGGGGTTGAATGTCCAAAAACAGACAGGCAGGAAGAAAAGTTGAATCTAGTATACTACCCCCCCCCCCCCCCCCCCCCCCCCCCCCCCCCCCCCCCCGGGGGGGGGGGGGGGGGGGGAGATATAATTTTGTAACTAGAACAAATCTATACTGAAAGGGGATGGAGCAGGACCAGATGGACATGGGGGACACTGTGTTTCCCCATCTTTCTCCCCCATAAAGTAAATTAACAAAATCTGAAAGCATCACTATTCCAACCCATGTGAACATGGCAGGGAATTAGTTTTCTCATAAACTCATAAAAGAAGTGATTTCATTTTTAAATGTCTTCTACAAGTGTAGTTTTTCTGAATCTTCCTAAATGATTAATTTACTCAATTCGGAAATTTAATTATTTCATTGCCAGCTCGACACAGTTGACAATCTCTACTGGAACAGAATGGCCGAAATTCCTTGTAAAATACTGTATATCAGATGCCATCCAAGGAATTTTCCTTCACAAAAAAGGAAAAATCTCATTAACTCTGTCAGTGTGACAGTGATGTGACTCTAAGGAAGGAGGATCAGCTGATGGGATTTTTCAGATGACTTTGTGTCACCAGAAATCCTCCATCTTTGTAAACATCTTTGTACTTTAAATTACTTTAATTCTATTGTTTCACGATTCAATTACCGGTACATCCCATAAAAATACACAGTCAGGCAATCTTCTGTAATTATGCAATTTTGTATACATTGGATCATTCAATTACCGGTACATCCCATAAAAATACACAGTCAGGCAATCTTCTGTAATTATGCAATTTTGTATACATTGGATCAGACTTTTAAAAAGTGTCATTGTCTGAAGGTGTTTGATTAAAAAAAGGTAAAAGGCAAGGACGTGCCAAGTTCATAAGCTACAACAGGTGTAGTATTTTTATTACATTTGTTTAATTTCAAGACCAAATTGGATGTCAGACATCCCACTTAGCATGTTTTCACCTCAACGCAGGAATGGCAGACAGTTAAAGTACATTGGAATTGATACAGACAGAAACAACACTTGACAAACAGCTTTCTCTAATAGAGTCTGCCGACGCATCGTTGACACCTCCGACTGATTCTATGTCTGTCCAATGCCCGTGCCTGTAATGAGCAATTCATTGGCTTGTAAATTCACAAAAGGTTTCAAGCACTTACCAGTATTCACTACTGAATCGTAGGTGTTAACATCCGATCTGTAACTATTACACGCTCACCATTAAGTTTAACCTGAGTCATTAGACCATTTTAGAAAGCTTCCCTGCATTGTTATGAATGCATCATTTGCCTACATGAAAAAGGCCAGTTCATTTTTTTATATAAGAGGCCCATAGGCCTGGATGGTATTTTCAAATCAACAACAACTAAATTAGAAATTGAGAAATGTCGATAAGGATTCAATATTCAATGTATGGGTATATTCCTGTTATTCCAAATAGACTTGCTCCAGATCACTGTAGGCACTGTAGTTCTTTAAAGCTTTTAATACTTTTGACACATGTGACCTTGAGAGTGGAACAAGGTCACTTAGATGAACACATATGGTAGTCCTTAACTCACCACTGCAAGCTAACAAGACTTATTACCGCTGCTTTAGACATCATCCATTTTTATGGGATGTTGTTTGAAAAGTTGTCAACACATTTGACATGTGACCTTGAAAGTGGGTCAAGGTTGTTCATTTAAACAAGACGTAGAAAACATGAAACAAATGATGGATGACAGATAATGCTATGAAAAGTTGAGCTAAAGTTCATATTTATTTTCTTGCCAATGAAGATTTTAAAACGCTTTTTTTTCCAATTATAAAAATAGAAATCTAGACAGAAACAATATGTCCCGAGTCTTTAATCTTTGCTGTATTATTTAAGAAAAATCACACATAATATCTGAGTGGTGTAAAAATATTTAGCACTTATTTACATTTCATAAACATTATTGTGCAGCAAAGAGTAATAATTTGGGACAGAAGATTAGGAGACCAAATTATGGCACAGTAAGCAATGAAACTGTTAACTGAGACGAATCATTCCTGACCATTATTAAGTGACAGAACCTAAAACATGTGACCAGCATTGATTAGGTACTGTAATTGTATCAGACTGTAGGAAACACATTAACAGCACTGAATTAACACTAACCACTTACTACATAAACACAGTCAAATCAATGTCGTCAAATAAATGTGAAATGTTATTAGCATTTAAAGTGAGTGTGAAGCTAGTTGGGTTATAAATACATCAGACTTCTGGGCCTGTCAGACCAGGAATGGTAAGATATTTAATTGTTCTAGCAGCAGATACAAGCTTTGTTTAGCTTTCTGCACTACACCATTTCAAGGTTGGTATTTGTAACATTATGTTTACATGTTTTAGTTTACAGACCTAAAAGAATGGTTTAAGGTGTCAAATTGGCTCTTCATTAGGTTTGAAAAGGCATAGAAAAACTCTTCTCTGAGCTGCAGCAGAAAGTTGTCAGAGCAGCCGCCCCTTCCAGAGGGACCCTCCTGATCAGCTGAACCCAGAAACTTTCCACCTGTTTTGTTATTGTCATATTCAATCACATCATTTTCCCCATTTTGACCAACATTGGATACTTAAACAGGAGGCGGAAGGGCATGACGGCATGGACAGGATCATCAATGGGTACTTAACAAGGAGGAGGAAGGGCATGAGGGCATGAAGGTATGAACAGGATCATCAATGGGTACTTACCTAGGAGGAGGAAAGACATCAGGACATGGACAGGATCATCAATGGGTACTTAACAAGGAGGAGGAAGGGCATGAAGGTATGAACAAGATCATCAAAGGGTACTTACCTAGGAGGAGGAAAGACATGAGGGTATGAACAGGATCATAAATGGGTACTTACCCAGGTGGAGGGAGGACATGAGGGTATGGGCAGCATCATCAATGGGTACTTACCCAGGAGGAGGAAAGGCATGAGGGTATGGACAGGATCATCAATGGGTACTTAACAAGGAGGAGGAAGGGCATGAAGGTATGGCCAGGATCGTCAATGGGTACTTACCCAGGAGGGAGGAAGTACATGATGGCATGAGGGCATTGACAGGATCATACCCAGAAGGTGGAAACGCATGAGGGCATGAACAGGAGCGTCAAAAGGTAATTACCCGGGAGGAGGAAAGGCATGAGGGTATGGATAGGATCATGTATGGTTACTTACACAGAAGGTGGAAAGGCATGAGGGCATGAACAGGATCGTCAAAAGGTAATTACCCGGGAGGAGGAAAGACATGAGGGTATGAGGGTAAGGACAGGATCATCAATGGGTAGGTATGGGCAGCATCATCAATGGGTACTTACCCAGGAGGAGGAAAGGCATGAGGGTATGGACAGGATCATGTATGGTTACTTACCCAGAAGGTGGAAAGGCATGAAGGTATGGCCAGGATCATCAATGGGAACTTACCCAGAAGGTGGAAAGGCATGAGGGCATGAACAGGATCGTCAAAAGGTACTTACCCAGGAGGAGGAAAGGCATGAGGGTATGGACAGGATCATGTATGGTTACTTACCCAGAAGGTGGAAAGGCATGAAGGTATGGCCAGGATCATCAATGGGTACTTACCCAGAAGGTGGAAAGGCATGAGGGCATGAACAGGATCGTCAAAAGGTACTTACCCAGGAGGAGGAAAGGGATGAGGGTATGGACAGGATCATGTATGGTTACTTACCCAGAAGGTGGAAAGGCATGAAGGTATGGCCAGGATCATCAATGGGTACTTACCCAGAAGGTGGAAAGGCATGAGGGCATGAACAGGATCGTCAAAAGGTAATTACCCGGGAGGAGGAAAGACATGAGGGTATGAGGGTAAGGACAGGATCATAAATGGGTACTTGCCTAGGAGGAGGAAAGACATGAGGGTATGAGGGTATGGACAGGATCATCATGAATTGGTACTTACCTAGGAGGAGGAAAGACATGAGGGTAGTAATTACCCGGGAGGAGGAAAGACATGAGGGTATGAGGGTAAGCAAAGGATCCTCAATGGGTACTTACCTAGGAGGAGGAAAGACATGAGGGGATGAGGGTAAGGACAGGATCATCAATGGGTACTTACCCAGGAGGAGGACAGGCATGAGGGCATGGACAGGATCATCAATGGGTACTTACCCAGGAGGAGGACAGGCATGAGGGCATGGACAGGATCATCAATGGGTACTTACCCAGGAGGAGGAAAGGCATGAGGGTATGGACAGGATCATGTATGGTTACTTACCCAGAAGGTGGAAAGGCATGAAGGTATGGCCAGGATCATCAATGGGTACTTACCCAGAAGGTGGAAAGGCATGAGGGCATGAACAGGATCGTCAAAAGGTACTTACCCAGGAGGAGGAAAGGGATGAGGGTATGGACAGGATCATGTATGGTTACTTACCCAGAAGGTGGAAAGGCATGAAGGTATGGCCAGGATCATCAATGGGAACTTACCCAGAAGGTGGAAAGGCATGAGGGCATGAACAGGATCGTCAAAAGGTAATTACCCGGGAGGAGGAAAGACATGAGGGTATGAGGGTAAGGACAGGATCATCAATGGGGACTTACCTAGGAGGGGGAAAGACATGAGGGTATGAGGGTATGGACAGGATCATCATGAATTGGTACTTACCTAGGAGGAGGAAAGACATGAGGGGATGAGGGGAAGGACAGGATCATCAATGGGTACTTACCTAGGAGGAGGAGAGACATGAGGGTATGAGGGTAAGGACAGGATCATAAATGGGTACTTGCCTAGGAGGAGGAAAGACATGAGGGTATGAGGGTATGGACAGGATCATCAATGGGTACTTACCTAGGAGGAGGAGAGACATGAGGGTATGAGGGTAAGGACAGGATCATAAATGGGTACTTGCCTAGGAGGAGGAAAGACATGAGGGTATGAGGGTATGGACAGGATCATCAATGGGTACTTACCTAGGAGGAGGAGAGACATGAGGGTATGAGGGTAAGGACAGGATCATAAATGGGTACTTGCCTAGGAGGAGGAAAGACATGAGGGTATGAGGGTATGGACAGGATCATCAATGGGTACTTACCCAGGAGGAGGAAAGACATGAGGGTATGGACAAGATCATCAATGGGTACTTACCCAGGAGGGAGGAAGTACATGATGGCATGAGGGCATTGACAGGATCATCAATGGGTACTTACCCAGGAGGAGGACAGGCATGAGGGCATGGACAGGATCATCAATGGGTACTTACCCAGGAGGAGGAAAGGCATGAGGGCATGGACAGGATCATCAATAGGTACTTACCCAGGAGGAGGAAAGGCATGAGGGCATGGACAGGATCATGAATTGGTACTTACCCAGGAGGAGGAAAGGCATGAGGGCATTGACAGGATCATCAATGGGTACTTACCCAGGAGGAGGAAAGGCATGATGGCATGAGGGCATGAACAGGATCATCAAAAGGTACTTACCCAGGAGGAGGAAAGGCATGAGCGCATGGACAGGACCGTACAGAACTCCACATGAGATGGCCAGACCATAGGCAAACGCAATGGCTAGTCCCACGCTCAGGAGTCCCGCCATAGACAGATAGAACTGAAAAAGTGAACACAGTTTTGTTATTAAAGATAATACAGGTTTGTTATCAAAGATATTTCTGGTAATTTATCAAAAGAATAATCAATTACATGATTACCAGAACAGGGACAGGTCAGCAAGTGACATTGTGAGCCTGACAGTATAAATCACCTGAATATTGGCCAAGCAGAAGCCACAGCAATCATTTTTTAATTTCAGTACAGATAGAAATGCATTACATACATGTATCCGACATGAACTATCAACCCCACCAAGTTAGTAAACATGCACAAAAGTTATAGCCAGAAAGGTCTCAACCAATCAGAAGCCTTGATGTCCATCTTTGATTATGGTTTCTGATTAACACATACTTAATAAACTAGCATGATATCCATTAAGTACTATTTATCACTAGGTTTGAAAAATTCTTACCAATAGAAAATGGTTATAACCATTAAGGACTTCCCACCCTTCATAATACACATGTTTTTCTTGTCGTATTTTCATATCGTCATTTCCGTATTGCGTAACAGGCATTCTATTACCATAGTGTAACTTATAGTAACACCGGGTTAACAATGATACACGTGCGTGACGATGATAAGTCAACACCCGATATCGAGACTTGACTTGGAAATGTGTAATCACACATACTTCAGATATAAAGCTTATGATACAAAGACATTAATTAACTCACGGAAAAACACTGACATAAGATCAGACGACTTCAAGAAGGTTGTATATGAGGCACATGGAATGCAGACTGATGTGTTTTGATAACCGACCTCACCTGTACCTATCACGTGCTAACAGTAGTTAACAAGCTCTTGGTCGCTACAACATTTATTGTCAAACGATTTACGCTCTGTCAGAAAAATCGTTTCACAAATGCAATTACAATAACTCTGTGAAAACAGTGGTTTGTAAAATATCAAGATCTCTATCAATTGCATGTGCATGTGCGTGCACATGATAACGGCATACCATGCGATAGCCTATGGTTACCTATGTACCTGACATGTAAATACACCATGCGTAGGCAGGCTATGGAATGATATCCAAAGATATAGTAATTTAATCTATTTCCGTCGTTTATACACAAACAACAAAGGCGTGGTTTAAGTTTATACATATAATTGAATTTAAACATGTCAAACGATATTAGGTCATGTATACATTCATCACACTCACTGCTCTGTCATCCTATACAGTACAACTGTAACACTCCCTCTGTCAATCCAAGAAAATATGATAATCATTATATAACATTGTAATATATCAACACATACAAATATTTAACATTTGGCCTTAAATGGGGGCTGGCATAATTTAAGCTAACGGTAATTCAGCTCACTGGGAATGACATGATATTATATGATATTATGCAATATCTATATACTGTTGCTTTCATGTCCCAGTGGCTGAATTACTAGGAGTATGCATGGGGATTATAGACCGAGTATGTAAAACTGTAGTGTATTCGAGCCGTGAGTCTCGAGAGGTGAGTCACCCAAGAGCCGTGAGTCTCAAGGGAAAACCCATGTGCCACACTCGGTCCGATGAACCCCAACTCCACTTAGATACAACCAGACTGCCAGGTCCGACAGCTGTACAGACCAGCCCAAGAGCCGTGAGTCTCAAGGGTTTCTTCGCCGTGAGTCGTTTAAACAGCCTGATTGTATACTACAAATGTATACTTTTTGAATAGTAAGTAATATAATACTTGGGGCCAAAGAACGTAACAATAGCCCGTAAAGCCGAAAGGGTTATTGAGTAGTGGATAGCCCTTTAAGACCTGTTAGCTAATATAATGCCAGCTCCTAATATTATGCTTGATGTACATGTACGTAACTATTGGAAGAACAATAAATCCTAAATAACTTGTTTATATAATATACGATGTGTATATATCTTAATAAAGGCTGGTGGCTGGGGATGGTGGCGGTTCGATGAAGTTGAGTTGTCTTATGGTGGTACGTCTTTCACCCAGCAAGAAAATTTTAAAACTGACTTGGGTGACGCTATGTATGTTAATTGTCTTAATTTCCGCGCGAAATTCCTGCAACTTGATTGGCTAAGATGCTGATGCTGACCAGTGGTCAATGACCTTGGCCTTAATCTACATTCCTGTATTCTGATTGGCTACATGTGCTGATCATGGTATTACTCAATGGTCAATGACCTTCACCTATCACTATACTTACACTGTAGTCATGCATGTACATGCTGATCTGCATTTATACACACATGATCTGTGGGCTGTGTAAGATGGTATTATGTAATAGAATATGCAAGTCTATGATACTATGTAAGTAGCCTGAAGTCACTGTTGTCCTTGTATGATATATACTGAGACCTATAAATAGTGATCAAAATATTATGTGTAACATATATGTAGTAAAGGGTAAAGTTTGTGTATAAACTTGTTTTTGTACATAAGTATAAAAACTCAATTTTTGGTAAAGTGAAGAAAATAAGTGTCATTGTAAAAATTCTATCCCTCTGCAAAAAGTTCTGATTTTGTTCAAGGTAGACAACTCTCATCAGGATCAAAATTATTGTATGTGTCCTGTTTGCTTTAAGCTTGTATTTAGTCACTTTTATCCATACAATTTCAATTAAAAATGCTTTTTGTAACATGTTGTAGATATTTTATGATAAATAAAATATTTGTAGGGTTGATTAGCAATGTTTCTTTTCATTATTTTATTGTTTTAATAGTATTGAACAATGCCACACGCTCAAAAAATATGAAAGTGTTGAATTTGACAAAAATTCAATTTTACGGTATTTTTCACAAAAAAATCCCCAGTTTATCGGAATGATTAGTTTTTCATAAAATCACCTCTACATAGTGACAACAATTATGTGAAACTTTCATTGAATTCTGCTGGCTTATTGCGTAAGGGTGGAGCCTCCTTAAATCTCGACCAATCAGAAGCAACAGATGCATCTTGGATTTTTGGGATTACAGTGATATGGCATTATTCACATAGGATATCTACCAAGTACCATTTGCAGCAAAATCAAACTCTGACAAATTAAATAGGGTCAGGCAATAAAGTTTGGATGTTATATCTGATTATTACCCTTAGTCTATTGTTAGTACCAGTGACGTTGCAGTGGTTTTTTTTCGTTAATTTGGAATGGAGCCTTCTTGTCTCATTTTGGGAAGAAAGTATCCCAATTGAGAAGAAAATGTTCAGTAGTAAACTGCAAATTTGGGGAATTTGGCATAAATAAGAAATAATTTCATTGACACTGGACTGGTGGCCATCTTGGAATTCAGGATGAATGATATCATTCAAATACGAGATGCAAGCAAAATGAACTATGGTGGATCAGAGAAAGCAATACACCAGCTGTTCTGTTTCATAATGACCTTGACATTAGGAACTATTTAAACTCCTATTGCATAGCTATGTATAGCACCTTATCACCATGCGCTAAGTTCAGAAATTTTAAGCATCTGGATTTTGAGATTATCTCTGGAAATAAAACAGTGGACAACCGCATCTCTAATGCAGAATCCTAATAGTTCATCTCTACAATGTAGATAGCACAATTACAGGTTCAATAGCATATGAATTCAATGATACATTATCATAAATTGATCCAACAATACATAAAAAGAAAGTATTTTAAATATGAATCTCAGTGATTTAATGTCCAGTGGTTCATTCAAAATTTCAAACTCAAATACCAGTACCATTAAGTTGAGTTTTATTCATTTATTTGGATTTTATGAATATGTAAATCAATACTTTTACTGACAAAGTCAGAATACTGATACATTCCTTAAGATAGCCCATTTATTCACTAGATGCCCAGTGGGGCTCCTAAACTCCTGACAGGAAGTGACCTCGACCCAAGCTCTTACTCAACCTTGTTTCTGGTAGGAAAGCCTTACGATGCCATGGGAACAATACTTTTTCTGATTTCTTTTGAGATTTCACCATCGCATACTCTTTGCTTAATAAAATCAAACTCAGTAAGTGTTTATATCTCAAGAGGTCACTTATCTGTTGAAGATTCTAACTCAAATTTGAAAAACTAAAATTAGATATTTGATCTGTTGCATTTATCAAATGAATACTTTATGTTATGCAAAAACAACAAATGCCAATTCACATTGGAAATCTATTCAATAGTGGGGGGGGGGGGGGGGGTTCCTATCAAATATCTCTATATTGATTAACCTTACAATGTAGGTACAATGTATCTTTGTATTGATTTATCTTACAATGTTGGTACAGTGTATCTTTGTATTGATTAACCTGACAATGTTGGTAAAAGTGTATCTTTGTATCAATTAACCTTACAATGTTGGTATAATGTATCTTTGTATTGATTAACCTGACAATGTTGGTACAATGTATCTTTGTATTGATTAACCTTACAATGTTGGTACAATGTATCATTGTATTGATTAACCTGACAATGTTGGTACAAGTGTATCTTTGTATTGATTAACCTTACAATGTAGGTACAAGTGTATCTTTGAATTGATTAACCTTACAATGTAGGTACAGTGTATCTTTGTATCAATTAATCTTACAATGTTGGTACAATGTATCTTTGTATTGATTAACCTTACACTGTACCTACATTGTAGGGTAATCAATTCAAAGATACACTTGTGCCTACATTGTAAGGTTAATAAATACAAAGATACACTTGTAGCAACATTGTAAGGTTAATCAATTCAAAGATACACTTGTGCCTACATTGTAAGGTTAATAAATACAAAGATACACTTGTACCAGGGGGGTCAGGTTAATCAATACAATGATACACTGTATTGATTAACCTGACAATGTTGGTAAAAGTGAATCTTTGTATTGATTAACCATACAATGTTGGTAAAAGTGTATCTTTGTCTTGATTAACCTGACAATGTTGGTACAATGTATCATTGTCTTGATTAACCTGACAATGTTGGGAAAAGCGTATCTTTGTATTGATTTATCTTACAATGTTGGTACAATGTATCATTGTCTTGATTAACCTGACAATGT